TGCCACTGTGGGCAGAAAGGACCTCAGGGCCTCAGTGATGCTCCTCAGTGCCTTCCCCCTGGGAAAATTGGGGTGGGTGGGGGGTGGACAGCAGCCACAGCCTCCAGGAGCTTGACACAGGGATCTCACCAGCATGGCACATGTGGAGTCGGCAAACACGGTCACATACGGCTTCAGCACATCATAATGGAAGCCAGGTGTCAGCAGCTTGCGGTGCTGGAACCACTTGGGCCCCTGGAGAACCAGCAGGCCTTTCCCTGGGCAAAGGAGGGGAGTTAGAAGGTTGGATGGTCCAAACAAAGCTGCCCCACCCCTGGCAGCCTGGGGCTAGGCAAGCCCCAGCCCACCGCACAGCAGCCCAGTTCTCCCAGCCCAGCTTCATATCCCAGCTGAGCTCTGCCTTATAGCCACCCAGCCTCACAGCCTCTGGTGACACCAGCCTCAGGCTACCACCCTACTTACCCTCAAGCCCTTGCCCTGGCCAGCACCACCTGTAGTATCTCCTAGGATCAACTCTAATGCCACCTCCTCCAGGAGGCTGTTCCTCATACTCACAGATTTCCCAGAGCCCTAGCCCTGCCTGTGCAGGGAAGAAGACACACCCAGCAGGAGAAGGCACCTGGGTCCCACTTCCCTGAACAACCAGGAGCTCTCCAGCCTCCTCCCCGGTCTCCTCACTCAGCACATGAGCTGAGGAGGGGCCCATGGGACCAGGTGGTCTGGTGGATGGATAACTGACTGAGCAAGGACAGAGCGGGGAAGGATCCTGGTCACCCAGCACCAGGGGCAGGGGTGGTGCCCACTCACCAATCCACTGCAGGAAGTAGTCATACACATCTGGGGCCTTGGGGTCTGGAGCAGACAGAGGAGGTGGGGTCTAGTGAGGACCGGGGAAGTCCCAGAGGAGGTTTGTTGATAAATAGGATGTGGACATCAGCTGCCCAGACTTAGGGTGCAGGCCCAGGACTCCTCCCCACATGGTGCCCTGAGCCCTTGGCTCTCAGGAATCCCCACCCTCTCCTGAGAGCTCTTACCCCCTCGGCTGTACACAGCTTTGGCATAGTCCGGATCGTAGATGTTCAGGAAGCCAAGAAACGGTCCGAACCAGAGTTGGTGGGCACAAGGAAACTGGTGGGCCCAGGACACCACCTTGTCCAGGCTCCCTGTCTGCCGCATCTGTCATGGCGACAGAAGGCCAG